GGTGCTTCAAGGAAAGGCGAGGAACTCTCTGCTGCTTTCCTTTCCCTTCCCTGTGCAGGAGCTTGAAGGGGGCACAGACAAGAAGTTGCCTTTAATTGCCTTTGAAGCTACTTATCCCAGTTTATCTTGATATATTTTGCTTGTTCTCCTTTAGCGATGCACAGTGAAACCCTTACCATGAAAACCCACCCTTGTGCCCAAGACAAAATCCAGATGGATTCCAGAGCTGGGACTGGGGGCAGGTTTCAGTTTCGTCTGGAAAGTGAAAGTACCCGCTCCCGGAGTGGTGCAAAGATGAAAAGAGGTGATGAGCAGAAAGCCTGGCTCAGAGGAAGCAGTGATGTCCTGCTCCTGAGCTGCCCTCACCATCCAGCATGGGCCACAGGGAAGATACTCAGTATTAGGGAAAGGAAGAGAGGGCTCTTCTAAAGAGCTCGGTGAGGGCGGAGCCTGGATCAGCTTTATTGACCTTCCTATCTTCACAGCGCAGCCCAGAGCCAGCCTGGGGCAGGCTCTCGGGAAGTATTTGTTAGTCCAGTGCTGGACTGAAGGAACGAAGGAGAACTTCTCCTGCTATGAATTGGGGAGGGGAGGGGCTACTGACTTTCTTTGGGTTTGAGTTAGGGAGTTGGAGACATTGATTTAAATGAGCTTAGTTGATAATAACTGAGTAATTTACTAAATTAGCTTAAATGTAATGCATCCGATTTAACCTGTATAGCTCGAGATCAGTTAGTTCACTGATACACGTTTGGGGGCTATCCCTCAGTAGGCCGTGTTTCCTGTTACATAACAGGAAAGCAGGGAAGTCCTTCTAACGTCCCCTGTGCTTACCACAGTGATCAGTGTCAGAAACCCTTGACACGGGAACATGCCTTTTATTCTGGGGTTCAGCAAGGATGGGGTGCTGGGTTGCTGTTGGCCACCCCAGAGGAAGGAGCAGCCGAGGTTTCCTGGAGTTGGCAGTTTGGCCTCTGGTTGGTCGCCTTCTACTCCTCCTAGTCTGTGCAGTCCAGCAGGGGATTCATCTCTCCTAGGGAACTACCCCTGCCTGCGTCTCCCACCTCCGCTCCAGCCGCTTTCCCCTTACCTTCTCTGCTCCGGACACATTGGTCTTTTTGCCTGTCTGTTCTGTGAGCACACAAAGCTTGCTGGATTACCCGTGTCCTTGCTGATTGCCTTTCTGGGTGTGTTTGCCCCCCATCTCTCGTACGATGCCCTTTCCACTTCTAGAGATGCTGCTGCTTGAAGCGCTTGTCTAAAATAGCACACTCTCCATCTCTGTCACCATGTCCCCTTCTTGTGCTTGATTTTTCTTCAGACTGTCAAGAAGTTCCAGGCATTGTCTATCCTTGCTTGATTTTGTCTGTCTTCCTCACCAGAGTGACACATTGTTAAGGCAAATGAGATAGCTTAAAACATTGGCGGGCTCTTTGAAGGGACTCAGACATTGAGTAGATGCTGCAGTTTCTTTTAGAAAGAAATTAATCTGGGAAATATTCCCAGGATCAAGTTGTGATCTTTAGTGTAAGAACGAAGATGACCTTATTTAGAGTGTGATATTATATCTAATACTATAAGGATATTCCTCTGTATGTATATGTATGTATGTGTAAATGAGATCCCCGTTTATAAAAGTGTGTGGAGGAGAGAAATTTTCTTTTAAATATTCTTTTGTTCCAAAGGTTTACTTGTAAATTGACTGCTTGGAATTGAGAGCATATATCACATTTTCTAAAAAAGAATTATTTTATTGACCTAGAAATATACCTCCCTCAAATTCAAGAAATTCAGGCACACGTCGAAAAAAATGCTTTCTGATTGATGACCCTCCTATTTTATTTATTTCTAGCCCTCCTTTTTCTAAAAAAGGGTTAAGTCCATTTACAGGAATTATTTATTCATTCAAGTATTTAAGCGACAACAAACATGTAGTGTGTACTGCTCAGCCCTGGGAATGCAACATTGAATAAGATAGACACCATCTGTCTTCATTGTGGTTTATCAGGGGAGGTACATTAAACACATAATTATACAAATAATTACTTAAAATTGTGGTAAGAGCTGCGAAGGAAAAACAAGGAAAAGGAGAGGCAATTTCCAGCCATAGGCACTGCAGCTGGAAAGGAGAGAGGAAGTTCTTAGACCTGGCTGGGGTTGACTTGGTGTGGTTTGAGGTCCCTGAAATTTAGTTGAGTCTTGTGCAAAGGACACTAAAATAAACAGAAAAGAAGCTTTCCTCTACTAGTTAAATGAGCCTAAATTTAAAAACATGGGTTCAGGGGCGCCTGGGTGGTTCAGTGGGTTAAAGCCTCTGCCTTCGGCTCAGGTCATGATCCCGGGGTCCTGGGATCAAGCCCCGCATCGGGCTCTCTGCTCTGCAGGGAGCCTGCTTCCTCCTCTCTCTCTGCCTACTTGTGATCTCGGTCTGTCAAATAAATAAATAAAATCTTTAAAAAAAAAAAAAACGGGTTCACTGAAAGCGGATAAATAGATGCACAGGAATTTGTCTTACGTTTCTTGCAGTGGCAGCTCTACTGAGGTCTTTTATATTCATAGATATATCAGAAATGTAAACTTACGTGGTCTCCATATTATACTCGAGTTACAAATTTCCTGTGGGAATGACCATTCCCTATTCCATACCCTTCCTTAGGAGCCATCTCCTGTGGACACTTCCGTTAAAGAATGGAGGTTTTAGGGTACAGGTTCTCAGATTTTTTTTTCTAGCACAGTCTTTTCTTTTTTTTCCAGTTTCATGGAGGTATAATTGACAAATTAAAAGACATTTAAAGTGTACATCATGGTATTTTGATATATGTATAACCATCCAGTTAATTAACATATCCATCATCGCTCATATTTATTTGTCTTTGGGGAGAACATTTAAGTCCTACTCTCTTAGCAAATTTCAGTTCTATAATACAATGCTGTCAACTGTAGTTAACCATGTTTTACATTAGATCTTTAGACCGTATCAAGGAGAATCTTAACTGGAAATGGCACGGTGGATATGAGCTTGGGCTCAGGGTCAGACAGGCAGAGGTTCAGATCCTGGCCTTGAGGAATTTAGACAACTTCCCTAAGCTTCAGTTTCTTCCATTGTGTGGGCTGGGGGGTAGGTGATGGTTGGGGAGAAGCTGGGGGAGGGGGCTGCAGTGACAGTCCCTGCCCCTTGGGCTGTTTGGAATAAATGCCATCATGCGTGGAAGACTGTTAGTACAGTGCCTTGCACTGAGGCCCGGAGGAGTTTCTCAGGAAATACCAGCTTGTTAATATTATTGTCATAGTGCCTAGGAGGATCAGTTAGAATAGCTGACACACTGTCTTTTCAGAGCTCTCAGGGAAGTTAAATGGTGTCAAATCCTTTTAAATCTTAGGCTAGGGACCCATCTGAGGAAGGGGAGGAAAATTCTCTCACACTGCTTTTTAATGTTGGCTAAGTACTTCTTAATATTGCTTAATTTATCAGTGCTAAAAATAATTATTATGTAGCCTAGGATACCAACGACCAATTTCATACCTTTTCCTCCACTGGAAAAAAAAAAAAAAAGGTTTTTGTTGTTGTTGCCGCCAAAATAACTGTTTATAGATCAAAATTTGAAAAACGAGAGTACTATATTTAGAAGTGAGAAATTTGTGTGTTAAATTTATTCACATTTTAGCTAATTAAAAATACCATAAGACCCATTTTCTGGGGGCAGTTTTGATACTCCTGTGTTTTGGAAGGCATTTAGCTTGTGCTTGGTGATATTGTCAGGACCAAGCCGTGGACAGCAGGATCAAAGCATTCGTGCTTCTGAAGGGTCTGTACTGTCGGCATTGCTCTTCTGGAGAAACGGATCTCAGTCTGTAGATGCCCACTTGTGTGCATTCCAACTCAGAGCAGACCAGAGAGGAGACCTTCATGATGAGTTGCTCACTGCCGTGGGATTTGTTTCTCTTGAAGCAGCTTGATACTTTAAAAAAAAAAATTCGAAATGTTGGGAGTACACACATTTGAATGATATTCTCATCTTTGCACAAAACATTCTTAAAAGCTGTAAAAGCTTCACTGTGGGAAGATTAACCTCTTTAGGTTGGAGTTTGCTTTTTGCCTACTTTGATTTCTTTGAAAGTCCTTTAGAAATGATTCCCTTGCAGTGAAATACATCTAGACTGTAGAACCCTTCATTCTTAGTGGTGGTGTGATCAGTTCTTGGAGTATATGGGATAACAGTGAAAAGGCACTTTGACTGAATGTTATTTTTATAGTCACAGTCATGTTTTACCAGTTGGCTCAGATTTCCCCTTTCTTTCTGTTTCCTTATATTCATACCTAATCGTAATCTTATTTCTTAAGATTAAAGTGAAAACTGGGTGGTAATGTATAAAATTCTGTTTCTTAAGACCGTGATATTCTGGTGATTTCGTTAATTAGTGACTTGATAGAAGTGGTAAATTACAGTTTCCTAGAAAGGTCACATTTCCATTGAGGGCCCAGAAAAAGTTGCAGTGTTCTGGTTGGAATTTTGAAGGCTCCGTGAAAGCAGGTGTTGTTCCCGGAGGGATGAAAGCGTAGATGGGGCGGGGGCCAGGTGGCGGGCAGGTTCTTCGCGATGTGTGCCGAAAGTATTAAGTAGGGAGTATTGATTTTTATTTTTTAAGTGTCCTAAAATGCTGATGGTAGCCTTTGACTTCAAAGTAAGCTTAAGCTGTATTTTACTTCCAGATTCTGTGGGAGTGTAAAATAGTGTGGTGCCAGATACTTACATAGTTCGAAAATGACTGTAGGTGGCTGGAACGAAGTAGGTTGACACAGATGTGCATGAAGGGGGTAGTAGTTTCCTTCAGAGACGCGGGAGCCACTGTCACGGCAGCTTCTGAGATCCTCCACAGCTCCGTCCTCTTGTGTCAGGTGTCAGTTGCATTTTTGCATATTTGCTTATTGGACCAGAAAAAGAAAACCCTAACCAGGTCTGCTTCCCTCTGCTCTGATCCTTCTGTTTCTTGACTTGCAGATCACTGAGGCTGTTGCAGCTGCTGAGAGCCTGGCCGAGGTACCTGAACACGTGTTCCGAGGACTTCCGGAGGAAGTGAGGCTTTTCCCGTCTGCTGTGGACAGGACTCGGATTGGTGAGGACCGGGGTCCCCGAAGGAGACGGGGAGGGGAAGGGAGAGCCGCCTGTATCCAGGCATCCTTTGGGAGCATGTAAAGTAGGAAGGTCATCATCAAGGTGACAGATTTACACTTAGACTTAGAAGATCATGGTGGAATTTCTGCATTTTCCAGTCAAGAATCCAGGGTGCACAGAGATTGTAAAACTAAACCAGAAATATCCACTCGCCCGCCCACCGTCCTTTGTGACTTCGCCTGAGTATTCCCTCCCACTGTCTCCTCGGGGCTCTTCTTCCTACTGAGCGTGCTGGTCCCTCCTCTCTGATTCACGGGGACTTGAGTGTGAGTGCGCTGTTAGATTTAATTTCATTGTTTTGTATTGGTTTTCCCATCTGCCCCCTTCATTGATAGCGAGTGCCTTCGTTTCTTTCCTCTCTCTGTCTCCAGTACCTGACACGTTCTGGACCTTAGTAGCACTTGAATGAATGACGACCTGAGTGGATCTGAATGCTTCTGGCTGGAATTTCCCATTGAGCACAAACCCAGCTTTTACATATTCAGTGTTGTTTTTGTGCCCTAATCTTTAGACAGAAGGCTAATAAGGAAGCAAATTATAAAAATTTAGTCAAAGTATAGTTTCGGAATATATCATGTTTGTATCCCTTTTTTTTTTAAGGTGTATTTCTGAGATTCCTGTTTATGTGTATGCGTGTGTGAATAAAGCGTTAAAATGCTTTTCCTAATTCTCATTGAAGAATTTTTCAGTAAATTACTTGAGCAGTTATATTGTATCATTCACACGGAGGTGGCTGACTGTTCGCTCCACTAATTGATTGTTAGCTTTGTTAGAAATTGGATTCATAGACCTGCAGAAGAGGGAAATTTGAACCTCCTAGCTGGAAAGGACTGGCTCAGCCTCCACCTTCCTTCTGTGCATCTTCTGAGAGCAGAAGATGCGGGAGCATGTCCAAAGGGCTCTTGTCAGTGAGCATCACCTCTGCGTGCTGGTTCCCTTGACGCCAGGGCTGTCTCCCGCCGTTTGGCCCGGTGCTGCTTCAGCTCGTCCGCCTGCCTTCCGGTCAGTGCCCGGAACCCAGGAACAGCCGAGGAGGACGGCAGGACAGCGGCAGGAGTAGCTCTGGGCTGTTGGAAGCTCTGCGGAGTGCGTTGTTAGAGCGGCTTAGGTTTCAGTGACTTAGCTGGAGGGGAGAGGGTGTTCCACTTTGAGCAAACAAACTTCAAAAATACCATTCATAAATCGGCATTTCCAAGCCTTTATAAAAGCAATTCGTGTTCATCGGAGACCATTTGAAAGCTGTAGAAAAGTAGAAAGAGGAGTTTTGAATTATTTCTAGTTTCATTCCTTTCTCATCTTTTTCTCTTTAGTTGTGACTGTGCTGTTCTCCGGGGATTTGTGATTGTACCGTCAGGGTAATTTTACATGTGAAAAATAGAAACAAATATAAACCATTTCTTTCCTACTGATAAAACAATGTCGGTTCTTACAGACTATTTGGGAACTACAGAAGAATATAAAGAAGATAAATAAAAATCTTTGTGGAAGACTTGATTTCATTTGACTTGACTTGCTCTCCATTGACCTGACATTATCTTGCTAGCCTTTTAACTATTTTGTGAAACAGAATTGACTTTAATGCTTCAATCTTTAAAATAGCTACAATAACATTATAAAAATATTGCTTTTATTTTCCAGGTGTCTGGGCCACTAAGCCAATTTTAAAAGGCAAAAAGTTTGGGCCATTTGTTGGTGATAAGAAAAAAAGATCTCAGGTTAAGAATAATGTGTACATGTGGGAGGTAAGAATTCTGGCTCTTTATCAGTGTTCTGTACATTTTTTGAGAAATGGTTTTATTCTCTAAGGATTTGACATTGTGATATTAAAAGTCATCTTAGTATGTGCTTTAAAATCAAGAATATGTATTTTTCACTACACTTGATCTTAACCAAAAGGCTGAGAAGCGAAGAATATATATTTTTTGGAAGATTTATTTATTTTAGGGAGAGAGCCAGAGAGAGGGGGGAGGGTCAGGGAGGGGAGGGGCGGGACTGGAGGAAGAAGGGATGCAGACTCCCTGCTGAGCCGGGAGCTGACCTGGGGCTTGATCCCACAACCCCCGGGATCATGACCAGAGCCGAAACCGAGAGCTGGGTGCTCCACTGACGGAGTCACCCAGGGGCCCCTCAAGAATATTTTTATTAAAGAGAAAACGTGTTTCTTTGGACACAGCTGCTGTGGACATCTGTCTTTTGAAGCGGCTTGGCTGTCCTCAACAATAAATGCCAGATCTGCTTTTGAACATGACCTTGTTCAGGGTGTTCCGCTGAGGGCTGAGCCTCTGGTCGGTCGCTTTGCAGGCTTGCGGACAGACACCGTAAAAGGCACTCCAAGGTGGCCACAAATAAAACACCGCTAGGGTCTTCTCCGTGTTTTCGGAGATAATCTCTGTGTTGCTGGAATATTCCGAGCTGGATATATTTAGCTCGTGGCGCATTTATATTTAGCGCTTCGGACTCCTCAGAAGACTTGCAGTTTCGTTGATTTCACGTTCTGGCGAGGATGCTGGAGGAGCGCGGCGCGTTAGCTGTTCCTTACCCAGTGACGCTGTCAGGAGCGGAGGTGCCCTGCTCCTCCCGTGTTCCGGGCTGCTCGTGCAGAGCCAGAACCCCTGCCTCCTGCCTGGCAGTGAGGCGTTGCCTTGAGATCCTTCCTTTAGCTTTGTGACTCTCTGGTTCTTAACCTCTGGGCCCCAAACCCTCAATTTAAAGATGGGGTTAATAAAAAATACCTACGATACTGGGAAGATAAAGCCGGTTCTAGCTATTTCCTGGAGCCCTGGGTGCAAGTTCAGCATTTACGTGCAATTTAGTTCAGATCAGGTGCTCTGGGGAAGCTGCTCTTGTTCTGATAGGATCTCAGCTGGTGTGGCTCCTTTTCAAAACAAGGGAAGTTTTTTGGCGATTAGAAAAGCATTTCTATCAGATGGTCTCGAATTTGACTCACATCTCTTTCACACGTAAACATACACAGGCCTAAATGTAAAATCTGCCCAGGAAATGTCTGGATACTTTCCATCGAGAAGTTCTGTGACACTTGTACATCTGAGGTATGTTGCTCTTGTGTTCAGTGTGACCAGCAGTGTTTCTTAACTTGAAGATTTCCTGCAGTTTCTTCCAGTAATTTTGAGTTTGTTTGTTGTGAGTCCCTTACAGTAAATCTGATGACAGTTAACGCCTGGGGGCCTTAGGAAATGAGGATTTAGCATGAGAATAATCACATTATGCTGTTTCACTATTTCTGAGGTAGAAGAGTACTGTATTTGTAGAAGAACTGCCCAGCCAAAAAATGATACTAATTACTCAAGATAACGCCTGAATGATTAAAAATGTCTTGACCACAAAATTATGCCCCCAAGTGAACGACATTTTTAATTTTAGAAATTTCCCAAGGGAACTGACAAATGTGTTCCCCCAGGTTACTGCCAGTCTTAGTGAGGTTAATGTCTAGAAACCAGGAAATGCATTGCTTAGTTCTATGTGTATAATGCTAAGCTTAAACAAATGTCATGAATATTAATATTACCCTAAGTTTATTGTATCTGTTTTACCCAACATAACGATTGGGAGATTTTGGGCATAGTATGTAAATGATTAACACTACGCTTTGTAGATTAAGCTTCATTTGTATTGAAATTCGTGTGTAGTATGAGTTCATACTCAGCTTGGTGAACATTGTAATTTAGAGCCATGACCTATTAGGGGTTGGATTTCTACTTATAAATGCGTTAATACTGCCTTGTTAACTTAAGGTACTCTGTTTGTTATACTACAGTTGGTGAATCCTACGACATGGCCAGTTCTTGTTAGTTTTAAAGATTTAGTTCTTGTCATTTTCCTTCTTAAAGTTAAAAAACAACTGGATGTCATTCAGGTAGTTTGGACTACAGGGTATGTATTCTGTACAGAAACCTGTAAGCCTTCTGTTCTGTTAAAATAGAAATAGATAGGATCTGACATGTATGTAGAGGTGTGTGTTAGGCAAACTATAGAAAGCATCAGTTAGAATGTATATATTTCTTTTAGAGAAAAAGAAACGCCAAGTAAAATTTAGTATATCCCTATTAATTTATTCCAACCTTGGTCTTAGCCTCAGACTTGCAGCAGAATGCCTCTTATTAACAAGAACTGCTTATCATTAAAATCTCATCTTGGCACTTGTTCTTGCATTAAAGCCCCTTTAAAACCGGCTTATCTTTTTAGCAGCCTGGTCTCTTGCCCCAGCTAGAACTCCATTTTCAAGCTAATCTAAGACAAAGTGTTAAATTGCTTTTCTTGAGCCCTTGATTATCTAACACAGTCTTAAGTCCTCTAAGCTTTCACTGAAAACATTCTATTAAATCAGAAACAACAGAAGAGAGACAAGTATCCTCAGGGTGAATGCACAAAACAGTCAGATTCTCCTAAGAGGAGAGCATTCTTTGAGCAGTTTCTGGGGAGGAACTGCTTGCTAGCCAGGGTAGCTGCTGTGAGTGCCTGCCCCCCACACACCAAGCCATCTGCAGTATTCTAACCACTTCTGACAAAAGCCTTTCAGATTCACTTCATGGGTCTCAGATCGCTTCCCATGAGATGAACTTCTGGGTGGTTTGCCTATGAATTGTTCTAGTAAGTTTTTTGTTTTTTTAGAGCAGTTTTAGGTTGAGGGCAAAACTGAGCTAAAAGTACAGAGAATTCCCCACACCACCGTCTCCCCTGCTATGGCAGCAGACTGGTGCCTCTGTTAGTCATTCGATGGACCCGTACTCACGCCCCGTTATCACTTAAGATTCCTTGTTTTCATTAGGGTTCCTTCTTGGTGTGCATTCCAATAAGTCTTTTTTAAATTATAAATGTAATACATGCTCATTGTACAGTAATGTAAATAATACCGTAAGCTATAAACAAGAAAGTAAAAAATCATCTGTGAATATTTTGGTGAACATTCTTCTAAGTCTCTGCTCCTCTGTTTTTCTTCCGTCTGTCCCGTACACTGGTGGGTACACAAACACCATATATAGACACCGCACGCCATTGAGATAAAACAGCGCATATGGCTTTGTGTTGGGATTTTCTCTTTCAGTATGTAGTGGACATATTCATGTCAGATTGTTTCATCTCTGTCATTATTTCTTACGGCCCCCTAGAATTCCATTGCATTCCTTCCACTGTTGAACCTGTTGAACCCTTAAATAGTTTTAATCTTTTCATGATATTACCAGTTCTTCTGAGTATGAAACTCACTCTTTTATACGTGGTTGCTCACTTGTTTGGTTATCTTCTTAAGATAAATTTCTGGAAGTGTAATTCTTAAGTCCAAAGTTATGTACGTTTTCATCTCTGGCGAATTTTGCTAATAGACCTCCAGAAGGATTCCACTAATTTACATAACCACCAAAAGTATATATTTTTCGCTAGCTTTTGAAAATCTAGTATTGTTAATCTTTTTTATAGTGTTCCCTCCCCCGACCTGTCCCCAGCCTCATTCTTACAAATGAAAACTGATAGTTTTTGTTTTTTTTTTTAAGATTTTATTTATTTATTTGATAGAGGTCAAGAGAGTGAGCACAAGCAGGGAGAAGAGCAGGCAGAGGGAGAAGCAGGCACCCTGCTGAGCAAGGTGGGGGGGGGGGGCTCCATCCCAGGACCCTGGGATCATGACCTGAGCCAAAGGCAGGTGCTTAACCAACTGAGCCACCCACGTGTCCCGAAAACCGATAGTTCCCTGGTTCTATTTGCATGACATTCATGTAGGCAACAACTTTTGAGTCGGGGAAGGCAGGAAGATGTAGAATTGTGTTTCAACTAAAATCGATGTTATTTCTGTATAATGAAAGGACTTTAATTGTCTGTACCGTTAGCATTTGATGTTAGCAAGTGCATCCCCTCGTCTTTGCTAGCTCAACGCTTCTAATTTCAGATTATTTCTAAGTTAAAAATGGAGGCAAGAAGAGAAGAGAGAGTAGAAAAGTCAGTCAGCTGATCCTGTAGAACGTTTTTTCCAGAAAGCACTATTCAGCTCTTCTTTCCAGCTTCTAACCCGCACGAGGGTAGTACTAGAGAAAAAGCCCGGGGTCACAGGGACACGCAGCCTGCCACCTGTTCTTTGCAGCCCTGCAGCTACAAGTGGTTCTTACATTCTTTTAAACAAAAAAATCAGATGTTTCATGACACATGGAAATGATAGGAAACGGAGATGTCAGCTGATGAATCGAGTTGTATGAGGACACTCCCGCACTCATTCACTTGCGTGTTATCGATGGCTGCTGCGGCCTGTGCTGGCGGAATTGACTAGTTCCGACCGGGGCCACGTAGCCTGCTGAGCCGAAAATATTTATTGCTGGTCGTTTACCAGGCTTGAGAAGCGCACCTGTTTAATTTTTAAATTTGTAGTTTAGGATTGCGTACAAGTTTGCTTATTGTAGTAAAACGTGCCACCACCCATTGGATTCCCCTGTATTTCTCTTATTCTAGAATATTCAGAATATTTTAGATACAGTGATGTATTTAAATAGTTCTAAAAAGAAGCCTTTGGTTTTCTAAAGCAATCTGAGCAGTGAAGTAGTTGGTGCTAAAGATCCGTTTTCGTCTGTAGCCTCCAGGGAGTTAGCTCCGTGGGGTGGCAGTTTTGGTTTGTTTTGTTTGTTTAATTAATTAATTAATTTGACAGGACAGACAGAGATCACAAGTAGGCAGAGAGGCAGGCAGAGAGAGAGGGGAAGTGGCTTCCCACCGAGCAGAGCCCGATGCAGGGCTCGATCCC